CTAGGGCGGAACAACGAAGAGGGGCTGATGCCTAAACTTGGAGGAACACAAGAAGACAAGATACTATTAAATCCTCAAATCGATCCATTTCTGAAACATATAAATTAAATTCATGTATTCGAGATCCAGGCTTGCCAAGACATCTCTAATGGGTATTGCGGATAGTTTTCCTTGGGCCCTGAGGGATGTGGATAACTCAGATCTGGAAACACGATGTAAGGTACATGATCAAACAACATGCTCGATATCGCGATGACCACTGCCACCAGCCAGGCTTGCTGAAACTCCTCAAACTCACTGGAGGTTTAAAAAAACTCTTGTCCTGCGAGATTAGCCAGCCCTCACCTCGAGTGAGTGACGGCAGGAATATAAAAGAAGTAAAGAAAAACTCCTCGAGAATTTCAGCGAGAGGATGATTTGACGTGAGGTGCGGTTTTCGAAACTCCGGATGACTTTTTCGCTCGACGCAAGAAGCTCAGAATTCACCCAGAGTTTTACAAAGCTCCAATCTTCTCTAGTGAGAGCGAGTATTGTCGGCAACCAGTTTTTCTTCGGCAACCGTTCCATTTGAACTGCATGTAAATCTGCTGTTCTATTATCGGCAACTCGAAATAAGCTACAATTTGTAGTGCGTGTGTTTCATTTCAAGAAAACCCTGCTAGATTGCTTTTTCTCAGTGGTAAAAATATAGTCAAATTGAAGCTGAAAGCACAAAGAATCGTTTGCATGCATTCAGCGAAGTGTTTTCGTAAGAAAATCCAGTGAAAATAGTGTTTCAATTTGGGTTGCCAAAAATAGTCTGTCATGCCGAAGCCGTCATTTCCCCTATTTGATTTTTTTTCCTCATGACCAAAAGTGCCATTTTGCATCTTTAGATTGCCATTTTTAATCCAGCCTTATTACTGAACAGGGCCTATAGAAAAAACGCTAGGCTTATCTTCAGAAACTGTTGCTCGAAAACTGTTTGTCAGATTGGTTTTGTGTCTTGGACAACATTGTAGGTATTGGCTGGGACTATTTAAAGAAAAAATATGCACTCTAAAAAAATTTGATTTTTTTATTTAAAATAAAAATTTAAAAATATTTTTTCCAACAACGGTTTTTTTGCACTTTATTTTTATTTTTTGGGGACAACCATCTATTGCACTATAGGTCACGATGGAGAAATTATGGGCAAACAAGTCATATTTTTTAACTTAAGCTTTTGGAACAATATGCAAAACATGATTCATTTTTTTATATTTTTTTATAATATTATTTATTAATATTGCAACGTCACACCGTTTTCGAGATGAATCGGATTAAAGTTTTTTAAATTTTTGTAGTTTATGGCCGTTTTAGATTGTATTTCGCGATTCCCCAATTCCGACAATATTTTTTCCGAAAGATCAGACTAATAAATATTCAAAAAATAATAATAAATATAATAAAAGAATAATAAATATTCAAAAAATATGTACATTCAAACAGCTATACCTACGTTGCAACGTAGCATAATTTTATGCAAGTGCTTTTTAAGGGTATCGACTCAACGAACAAAACTAAATTCCTAGATATATCCTGATTTTCCAAAATAAAATCCAGTTATAGAAAATCATTCACATTTTTCTAAATTTACATGTTTAAGACATGTTATGAGCCAGATAATCAGTAAAAGCAGCAACCGGGGTGTTACTTTTATTGATAACGATGTGTGAATGAAACTACAATCATTTCTAGGTATATCAATCAGCTTTCTATTTTTTTAATCTACAAAAACTTAGAAATAAAGTTATCATAAAACGATCGGTTTAATCCCAACAACATGCATTTGCATCACTAGCTTGATCGCCAGATAGTGTTCATGATCTCCTTATCTCAATTTCCGCTCCTTGACATGTCAATTTCCTAACCCTTATTAGTTATTTTTCTGACTGTTTCTGATCTTTCCGTTAGAGATATTTCCGCATATGAAACACTTGTTTTTAATCCCCCGTTATAAAATATATTCCCCGTGCACACTTCAAGGCCCATTACATCTCCGTTGAACATTTTTTATGGATAACACGTTTAACCAAATGCTTGATCGCAGTGGGAATCCGGGGAAGGGGAAACGTTCACAAGCCAAGGGGTAATCACCTCTGCACACTGTGCCGAAATAGAGCATGGCACACTGTTCGGCACGCCAGGGCGTACGTTGACAAGTGGGAAACAAACAATATAAAATATAAAACGGCATCACTGTCGAGTTTTGACGTTTTGCCAACCGCTTAGGTTGACTTCGTTTACCCCATTGGGCTTCACAAAGAGTTCAAAAAATTCCAAGGAAAAATCTGGAAAGTATTTTCTGCACCATGAATATCGTAAAAACCAACAAATCTTATCCGATTTGTAGCGAAACTCCCAGTGGCAGAGTTCTAACACATTATTGTCGGTAGAAAAGGTCTAGTTGTTACGGCTGAAATCGGTTACCACCAGCAAAAAATTACTATGGTCAAATGACTAAAAGATGTGGTCGTCCAATACGACAGTACGGTATGGAATGCGAACGGCGATATTGCCAAGGGTCTTGTGGGATGAACATTTTCTCGTTTTTCCCTGCGTTTTTCCTCAGATATTCTTGCCAGTCATTGGTTTCAATTGAGTATGGACTTCGATGGGAAATCCACAGGACTCTTAAGAGATGCCCATAGAAGTCCTAGTACTGCTGGGGGATGTCGATACGTATATTAACCTCAAATATCCCATCAAATCTGGACCTATGTACGGTTGCTACCCATCATCCACGATCCGGACATTTTGCAGATGCATATCTGTCATCATCCTTTTGTTGGTCTAGTTTGTCTCAAGAGGCCCCGATGCGATGGGTGGCCTACCGATCAGTTCTTGTAATGTCAGTAAGGCCTTGCTCAATCTCTATAGTTTGCGCGATAGAGGGGGGGGGGGTTAACGGTTCCCGCATGACGACTCTAAGCAACTTGCTGTTTGGCAAGAGCCCATGGGCATGCAGACAAGCAACAATAACCACAGGGTCCTGTCTGCAGTAGAACCGCAGATGCGAAGCTTATCTGGATCACAACAACTTTCCGAAGTACGACTGATCTGTAGTGGGGGATATTTGATAATTTTCATCGGTGGTATATTGGCAATTGGTTTTCTTTGATAGTACATTGCAGAAGGTACCACAACTACATAAGATCGTGAACTTGATAAGCTTGAACATGTGTTATTGGGTGGTGGTAGGAGACACCATAATCAGCGACACGACAGACTTGAATGCAAAGTACAGATTTTTACGAAAATCTGAGTACCATTATATAGTTTTGCTAAGGAATGGCTGAATAGAAACATTTTAAAAATTTCTGCATTTACACCCAAACTTCGATTACCTATGGCTTAAAACGGATAATGTGATTCGAATCAAGTCGATACGTCGTATCGTTATTGAGAAATCGTTAGAAACGTACCGTGTAAATTGCGACTCAGCGGAACCAACCATGTAAACCAAAATTGTGTTAAAAAGGACTTGAGTGAATATCCAAAAAACTTATGATTAAAAAAAATCATAACTTTTTTGTACGTCATTTCTTTATCTAAACGTGTGGCATTGGTGGCCCCATTAAATATAAAAAAAAAACCGTTTTTGAAAAAAATAGGTTTTTAAATTTAAAAAAGTTGAAAGTTTTTTAAGACTGAATAGTTTTTCTTCAAATAGTCCTAGTCATTATCTACACCTTGCCCAAAACACTAAACCGATCAGAAAAACAGTTTTCGAGCAGTAAAGTTTCACTGGATTTTCAAAAATAAGACTGGATTCAAAATGTCGATCTGAAGATGAAAAATGGAATTTTTAATCATAAGGAACGTGTCTGCAAATTTTCAGCCCAATCAAAAAAATATAAAAATAAATCGATTTCCGAACTGGTATGACACCGCTCAGAACATGAAGCAAGATTTTGGAACAGGGGCCTGACAAAATTGCGATATTACTGTACCCTCCCTTGAAATCTCCGGAATCAAAGGGAAGCAAACCGAAGGGAATGATAAATTCTGCGAATTATATTTGCCACCAAGATGATGTTGATTTCAAAAGCGGCGGTGGGCCGCAAACTGTCACGATGAAAACGACGATGATGACGCTCTGGTGTTGAGATTCGGCGGCAAACGGGAGAGTGGGTGCCAAAATAATGATGTGTCATTCTCATTTTTCTTATTGTGGGGCTTTGCTTGAAGCTTATGGTTTCCGCATGGAAGTGATACTGTTGGTTGGTGGAAATTAATGGATTTTGTTACGATTCCAAATGCTTCACTATCCATCCACTATCAGAGGCCAATGAATAGCGTTCCAATTTCTAAACGCACTAAACTCCGTCGATTTCGCCAAATGGTTATGTGACCGTTTTGTGACTGGGCTATATGCTCTAGCTATGAAAACCAAAATGTGCAGGCAAACTAACAACCCTTTTTCTCCAAACTCCCATCAACAGAAACACATTTGTTCGTCACACCACCGGAATGCGCTTCACGGTTCCACACCTCGATATGTCGTCGTTGGTTTTCTTGTTGTCGAGCAAACAGTTTATTTTCAACGGAAATTAGACCAGCAATGAAACACGCTGCAGAACTTTTTCCCATACATCGCTCCCTGCATCGCTAGAATGTTGGCTTTCTGCACGATACCTCCAACTAGGTAGTGACGATAAAAAAAAATCAACACCAACCGACGGGATCTGAGCTGAAGCTGAAACGAAATTGGTCACCGGATTGGTTGGCGTCATTTGCAGTGCCATGTTTGCACCAAGTTACGACCAACAACGCCAGGAACAACCCAATTCCCATACGAACCAGGACGGAGCGGAACTCATCGTGTCGTGGCAAATAATCCGGAAAATTAAATTTCATGAAAACCTCGTCGTTGCGAACTACCTTATGAGCGCAAAACTAGCTGATTGAAGTTGTTTCGCTGCTTCCACTTTTTTTTTATTTTTTTTTTATTTGTATCGTCCCCAGTAGAGGCTTACCTGTAATTTTGCACTCCCGCGGATGTTCGTCGCTGCCGTCGCTACAGTCCGATTCGCCGTCGCAGATGAAGCTCACATGAATGCAGTGGCCATCGTTGCACCGGAACTGCCGCTCCGAGCACTGCAACGTTGCGTTCACTGCGGAGGAATAAAAAAAAGAAAGGCAAAGAGAAGTTAGATTAGCACCGGCATTCATTCAGGGATCCACAGCTGTCGGTGGAAAATAATTACGGAATGGATTAGAGGTTAAAAAATGCGGTGCTAAAAAGAAGGAAACTAATTCAATTGGATGAGATTTGATGAGTGATTGTACGGCCGCCGGCCGGCTTGCTTTTTCTCCGGCCAAGTTTCTTTCGGTCAAATGACCCACTGAGTGGGAAATTGGAAAATCCTTTCATTCTTCTGGCCTTATCACGAAGATTGCAGGGTGGCAACTGAAATTCCAGTTTTTCCTGGTCAACGTTTCAAAATAATTCGGTTGCATAATTAATTCAAATAAAAAAATGAATTCATCCACTAAATGGAAGATTCATAATATTATAGGGGGTCCCAGAATGTTCAAGCACGGCTTTGAACACCCATGCTTGCTGCAGATGACGTTTAAACAGCTGAATCATTGTTTACATTTCGACCAACAGTTTCGTATATCGCAAGTGTCGTTTCTTTACATTTCCGTGACAATGCGAAGCATTTCTCCGGAAAAGCGCAAACAGATCGTGAATAAATGGTGTACTATCCCCAGCATTTCTCTGAGTCAATTAGCGAAATTGGAAGGTGTAAGCATCGGAGTCGTTCGAAACGCGATTCGGAAGTATGGTGATGAAGCAACTTTCCAGGACAAGCAAAAATCTGGACGTAAACCGAACCCTGTTGACCGAAATTTGGTCCGGAAAATCGTGCAAACTTTCACTCGCAAGAAAAGTGCTTCGGTACGAGACGTGGCTAAAAAAGTGGGATCCTCGAAGAGTAACGTCCAGCGGGCCAAGGCAAGAATGGGTCTAAGACGTATAAGAAGCGGAGTTAAAAATAAGCCGCAAGTTGGAAGTTATACGACCAGTTGCTGTGCGCGATTATCGTAAAATCATACGTTAAATTTGCTTACAAAACTCTTCCTGGGGATCAGTACTACACCGTTCGTGATGGCAGAAGTGTTGACGACGCGGATAAGTCGATTTTTACCGAAGAATTCGGAGAAAAGTCTATGGTTTGGCAAGGCATTTGTGAGTGTGGAATGCTTTCTAAACTGTTTGTGACAACGGATACAATGACAACCGATGTTAACGTGCGTGAGTGTTTAAACAAGCGTCCCATGATCCGCAAACACGACGCCTCAGTACTATTTTGGCCGGATTTGGCGTCGGTTCCATGACACGGTAGCCCGGTATAAAGCCATAAGGTATAAGGTCCAATTCGTACCCAAGGATATGAATTCGCCAAACTGTCCCCAGGCCAGGCCATTCGAAACTTTTTGGGCCCTGACCAAAGCATATTTGCGGAAACATGTAAAGGCAGGGCATTCCGTTACAAAGTTTGCAAAAGACTGGGAAAAAGTATCCAAAATCTGTGCTGAAGCTAATGAGTAGCGTGAGATCAAAAATCCGCTCATTGGCTTACGAATGATCGGACCTCGGATTTTCTATGTTAAACTGTAAGAGAATACTATAGAGAACATGAATACGAAATAAAAAATCGAATTTTTCTGTAAACAGAGTTACGTTATCGTTTTTTTTTTTTAAATCGTGCTTAGACATTCTGGGACACCCTATATCATCGGAGATAAGTGTCATTCCACCGAATGATATTTTGACGAACGCCATTCGACCAAATGGGTAATTTGGCCGAATGCCATGTGATCGAATGGGTAGTTTGGCCGAATATTTGAGAAGAATTCATATATTTTCGAACAATACTAAATTACAGGTAATGTCGGGCTAAGTGTCCCTAATTTGGGCCCATACATAAATTCAGCAATCGACTAAATTTTCATTAGCAACCAAAAATATCCATTAGTAACGTCCCAATAACGCGTTCATCTAGAAAAAATTGATAAATAGCAGATTTTTAGCGATGGGCCCAATCTTAGATCCATAGGCCAACATTAGAGCCATTTCCCCTATATGAAAATTTTCAAGGTTTCAAAAGTATGAGAACAAAATAGGATTTGATCATTTAAGGAGATTTTTCCTTCTTTTAAACATAGAGTTATATTAGAGGTTTGCTGTTCCCGATAAGGCCTGTCGTTGTGGTTACTTATGATTACTTCACCAGCTCCGAAACCCGATTTGTTTCATCATAACTAACTGGAAAGCTGTGACCACAATGCATAAGGGAACTCATCCCAAGTAACAATTTTTGTTTTATGAGGGTTCTGTAGACCATGATTTAGACTTGTAGCATGCTTTAAAACCACTATAAAACTTGCAATGTTACTTGGTATATGAGAATGATGATGAGCACTGTAAATATAGAACATGAGATATATTCTGTCTTAATCTAGATTCTATAAGCGACCTTGAATGTTGATTAAAACAAACGTTTCAAAACTATTCCACCTATAAATGTGCTATACAAAATTCTCTGCGCTCATCATATATCATATACTTGTCTTTTTGATATATGTTTCACATCGAAGATGCGTCAAACATATCAAAACGGCCAGGCCTACTGTGCAGCATTTAAGGGACAAGATGATTCAGAAAACATCGAGCCTTTTTAAATCGAAGATCTTAACACGATGCTTCAGAATAAATGTATGAAACGTGGACATCTCGTACCGTACGTTCCGATTTTGGTAATTATATGATTGGTTGGTCGTTGGAAGCATCAAAGCTAGAAAGGTTAAGTGATGCTCCATTTTCTTCTGACGGTTGGGGCATGAGCACTAACTCTTGTCCTAGTCTTTTATGACTTATGGCTATAGCGCCATTACTCGCTTTCTGAAAAGAAAAGAGGGAAAGGAAAAGGAGAAGGACAAAGGGAAAGAGGGAAAAGGATTATGTGAAATCTATGAACATAAACAATATTTTTGATTTGAAATATACAATATAAAAATGCAGAACAGCGCGGTGGTCACTACTCGAGTCTTATCACTATTATCAAGTCATAAAAAGTAACAAGGACTAAAATGTAATTCTTTGATTACTGGAAAATCCTGATGCTTGGGACTAGCAATCATCTTCAATGTATAAAAACTGGTGATCTCAAACTAGGCAATACCAGCGGCAGCTGCGCCCTAACGCAGGTCAAGAAAGGAATGGGTAGAAATGTGTTGACGTGAAACTCGCTTTGATGGAAGCCGAGAAATCCTCTGCACTTCCACGAGGAATCACTGGGATGTTGGGTAAGAGGGTTGGGTTTTCGGGTACAAGATTTAAAACGTTTATTAACAAACTTTTAATCCACCTATTCCTTTGCAGTTAAATTGTACCCGTTCAATTCTGGCAGCAAACCCTAAAATTTAGTGTTGCCAAAATCGAACGGTCTTATTTTGTTGACTTCGGACCACTGCGAGGCATCGCCATGACATAGACGTTACTAATAATAAATCTTTTATTAAAAGCTGTAATCACAAGAAGCAAAAACATACTATTTTCAAATTCCATTAAATTTTGGCTCGTTGCCAAAATTAAACCCCGTGCCAAAAGCGAACGGTTTTGTGGTTTTGTTGCTAAAATCGAACCGTGCCTAAATCAAACGTCTACTGTACAAATATTTAAATTAAATAAATGGTAAGCTCTCACCAGATTCTGCAGTTGTATGTGACCATTCAACACTGTTGACCATCATAATCACAAGTGTTAATAAGTAGGAACGAACTCACCAAATGAATCCATGAGCAATGTCAGCAGAATGAAATTGCATCGTGCTACTGGTACTTTCATGGTCCACCTTTCTTGCTTGAATCAGGATGATATCCACCTGCTACTATTCAACAGAATTAGCATGTTGCTTCTCCGTGAGTACATCCCGATTCCTAGTGATTCCTTTTCTTCAGGGAGAATTTCCTGTAGTCCTGTATTTGTTATCTTTTTGTAATTTTCACATTTTGATCATCCAGATCAGGTTCAGCTAATATGAAATATCACTAAAAGAGTCCCCAGGATCAGCCCTTGTGGTTCGCTTCTCCGTGACGTCGTCGCAAACGAAATAACGTCGGGGGTTCACTGGAGGAGTTTGCTGCTCTCTGAAGCTCCGAAAAAAAAAATTCATGACGCAGTTTCTGTTGAGAGTCACGGAAAAAACAGCCCGAAACTTGAATAACTTAAGAAATCACTATCAGATTGGTTTCTTATACTGTTTTAAAAATATGCCGAAATCGTTTCTCCGACAAAAATCACAGCAAAGAAAATGCACGTCAAACTTGTTCAAAGGCAGAGTCTACTCTCTCCGGATCAGTCGTAGTTTGTATTTTTTTGTATGTATGTATTTTTTTCTTTTCTTTCTTTTCGAAACTATCCAAAATTTGTTTAAGATTGTGTTGGTGCTGCCATGGTGATTGTATTTGGTAAGCTTGCTCCAGTTAAAAACAATCCGTTTGTTTCCTGACGGGATGACCTCGATCGGTCATGCATGGTAATAGCAACAACTTGATGATAAAAAAGGAGCTCGTTTGCCTAGTGGCAAACGTTTTTGTTTACTGACCTAATATTGCCTAGTTTAAGATCACCAGTTTTTACACATTGGATGATTGCTAGTCCCAAGCATCGTCTATTGGTTATCTGTATAATTACAGCTGGTATGGCAATAACAGAGTAGCAACCGTGGGCGGTCAATCATACTCATGCTATGCGCTCTTGCAGATGAACAAATATTGCTCCGCATAAAGTTATATAAAAAATCGTCTGAAAACCATTTCGCCATGTGTGACATAAAATTGTTCGGCGCTTATTAGATATATGTACAATGTGTGGCACTCATCTGATACAAATGAATTAAGGAATTTTTGGATGCCAATATTTACTAGGCGCTCGCAAAATGAAGAAAATTGCACCACCCCTAACAAACGCATGAAAAAAATTCCTGCTATATGTATTTCGATTAAGCAGGTCGGTATTTATACAGCAAGAAAGCTAGTTAATTGGATCAACGTAATTCAAGCTGATGTACGAAATATTGACTTAATTATCAAAAAGCAGATA